TCTCTGCCGAAACGTACGGTGCTCGGGAGTGTGGTCTGATGTACAGTAGTCTCTGCCGAAACGTACGGTGCTCGGGAGTGTGGTCTGATGTACAGTAGTCTCTGCCGAAACGTACGGTGCTCGGGAGTGTGGTCTGATGTACAGTTGTCTCTGCCTAAACGTACGGTGCTCGGGAGTGTGGTCTGATGTACAGTTGTCTCTGCCGAAACGTACGGTGCTCGGGAGTGCTCCTTTGCGTGTTTTTGCACGGAGCGTGCACTTATGTGAGCCTGTACAATGGGGGGAGGGGGGGGGGGACGCGACCATCTCAATTGTTTGATTGTTTGATATTTTAGTAACCTCTCTTGGGATGTGGGGCTCACTTTTGTAGATAATGCGAGGAATCTTGACTGTTTTAGTTTTATAAAGGATTCCCTCCATCATGGTTAGGACTAGAAAAGACCTTCGATAAGGGCAGGGGAAAAACCAGAACTACCCACTCACGGTACTGGTGTGTACTCGACCCACTCACGGTACTGGTGTGTACTCGACCCACTCACGGTACTGGTGTGTACTCGACCCACTCACGGTACTGGTGTGTACTCGACCCACTCACGGTACTGGTGTGTACTCGACCCACTCACGGTACTGGTGTGTACTCTCATGTCGGGAACAGACAAGAGGAAACTGGTGGTGATAGAAAGAAGGAAAGAGTGGTGATAGAAAGAAGGAAAGAGTGGTGATAGAAAGAAGGAAAGAGTGGTGATAGAAAGAAGGAAAGAGTGGTGATAGAAAGAAGGAAAGAGTGGTGATAGAAAGAAGGAAAGAGTGGTGATAGAAAGAAGGAAAGAGTGGTGATAGAAAGAAGGAAAGAGTGGTGATAGAAAGAAGGAAAGAGTGGTGATAGAAAGAAGGAAAGAGTGGTGATAGAAAGAAGGAAAGAGTGGTGATAGAAAGAAGGAAAGAGTGGTGATAGAAAGAAGGGAAAAGGGCTCAGCCACACAGCTTCAACGACCGGGGTAAACGCTTGGATGACATCAGACATTCTGAGAGACTTTCACCTCTTGTGATTTGTCGAGTGTGTTCTAAGTTCTCGGAGTGCAGCTGATCACTCGAGTCCTATGGGCCTCTCTAGTGTTCGGCCATATTTGCGCGTATTACGCATCTTATTTAATTGGCCGAACTAAACATAAAATAAAGTCACCGTGCATTTTTATGTCTAAATTTTATTAGAAAAAACCTGTCATACGACGTAAGCGCGAGCCTTGCCCTTGTATGGCATCGTGTGTTTAGGCAGAGACTACTGTACTGTAGAGCCAATATTCAGGGCAAATAATAAATAATTGATTTTCCTAACCTCATCAGGAGAGCAACATAAACATGGACACGGTGCTGATATATTCTTTACGCTTCATGGAAATTTTTGCCTAACACAATTTGAATGAGATCATTATTGTTAAGTTGGTAGGCCTACTTACTTTTGTAATAACATTTCACATTGGTAATGTATGAGTGTGAGACATTTTACTGGCAGGCAGCTCTCACTTTGATGTGTCGGACCTACTCACTTATTGAACTTATTCATAACAGCTAATGTCACATGTCCCTATTTTTAGCATGGGATTTTGAGAAGCGACACATTGAAGAAACACAGCTTAATGAATGGTGATTTTTGTTTTTTCGACTCGCATGCTTTGAGAGTATGATCACATATAGTTGTGAGACTTAACGAGTACAGGATGTTGTGGTTGACTGCACAAAGCATAACTTTTTTAATGAGAAGTTGACAAACACTTCATCAAGTACCAACAGTTGTAGGCCTACAACACAGACAGCTGACATTGTCACTAGACTCCTTGACCTTGTTTCTGCACGCATCAAATTGGATGATTTACGAGTATGAGTGGCGTATTTTCATGTGTGAATTGTACTATGTGGCCTAGTTGTTTCAAGTTTCACATACTTGTTTCACGTGCTGGCCCACTGCGGACTACGCTAAGTACGTCTTTTTTCCTTTCACATTTGACGTGATCTCTTTTTTTTTTACTCAACAACTCCGCTGATGTCTTTGTCCACATTTCTTGTGATCGTTACCGATACTACAGCTGTTTGAGTTTGAAATGTCTGGGTTAAGTGGTAATGTTCATTGTTGTTTTAAAAAAAAATGTAATATATGTTATGTCCCATTGCATGTTGCTTAATTTAAAGATGTTGATATTTTGTGCTGGGTCTGTGAACTCTGTGCCTGTGGAGTTTTGTTTGTGCTGTGGTACAAAATCCCCCCCCCCCCCCCCCCCCCCCCCTTTTGCTGTTTTGGGGTAAAGTAGAATGTTAGGACTGCCAGAACTGTTGAGTTGAGCGTGCAGTGGAGACTTTTGGTCGCACGTACTAGAAACTGAGGAACTTGGATGTCATATGAATAGGAGTTCGTCTTGGTAGAACTGTTCTGTTGATTGTGTGCAAAAACTAAGCTTCTTCATTTAGAATAGAATAGAAATAATATAATGGTGAACTTGTATATGACTTTATTCGTGAAGTGGGGGAAATGGCTTTAGTTTTTGTGCTTTTATTAGTCTTATGTTTGCAGCCCAAAGTTGAGCTTTCCTGATTGGTTTTGTCCCTCAAAATCTCATTCCAAAAATCTGGTGGCTCATGATTTCATTATATATCAGTACCATGTAGATGAGTTATATAACAAGTGTGTGCTTGTGTGAACCCTTGCCTTTCCATTATACTCTCTCTATACTCTGTGTGTGTGTAGTCATGGTTTCACCTAGTATAACAGTGTAAGCACCAGTAGGCCGACTTAAAAACTGATCGTACTGTCTGTGGATAAAACTATCTGCTTCACACTGCCTCTCAGAATACTCCGATCAGCCTTGACCTGCTCCAAAAGTGGGCGTTGCCCTTCTGTAGGAAAAGTTTAGTTTCAGGCGTGTATGTTTGTTTGTTTGTTTGAGAGAAAACTCTCCTGTCTTTTAAAGAAACTGAACATAGGCGTGTATGTTTGTTTGATATAGAGAAAACTCTCCTGTCTTTTAAAGAAACTGAACATAGGCGTGTATGTTTGTTTGATATAGAGAAAACTCTCCTGTCTTTTAAAGAAACTGAACATAGGCGTGTATGTTTGTTTGGTTATAGAGAAAACTCTCCTGTCTTTTAAAGAAACTGAACAAGGGGCAGAAACTTTACCTTCCATTTTCTCAAAACAGCATTTTTTTGACAGCCCCCTTGTGCTTACTTAAAAGCGACCGTTTCTGAATTCCTACTTTTGGTCTAAAAAGGACTGCATGTAGTTGGTTCTCCTGCTTCTTGTTGCAATGATAGTAGGACGTAATGTCAGTAGCAGTAATGATAAAAGTAGTGAGTATTAATAATGATTTATATAATAGTACCGTAACAGAATTCATCGTATTGTTTATGTGAAGAGAGTGGACGGTCAGTGTAGTGGAGAGAGGGGGAGAACAGTGATACATTTGTACAAACGTACATGTACTGACTGATAGAGAGGGGGAGAGAACCGTGGTACATAACCGTGGTACATTTGTACAAACGCACATGTTCTGAGTGATAGACTGCTGAGTCACATCATGTAGGACTACTGGGTGCAGTTCTGAGTTGGAAGACGCCAGTTATCTTGTTGTCTTGACCTGATGAAATCCTTTAACTTTAACGTTATCCCATACCATTGCCTGCTGGTCATTATCCTGCCCAAGCTTTTGCTGGATTTAGTGGCATTAAACATGCATTTATTTTATAAGAACTTGCATGCATTTAGTCATGCCAATGAACAGGCACAGAAGAATCCGTCAGTGGTTAGGTGAATTCAGCATTATAACGAAGAATGTTGAGTTGGAAGTCTGCATACCTAGGAGTACTACTATCTAGTAATAAAATAGTAGTATACAGTATACTGACTCTAGTGACACTGATAAAATAATAATAATAATAATAATAGATAGTGATAGCATTTGTGAAGCGCTAATCCCTGCTCAACAGCAAGCTCTATGCGCTTCACAATCTATACTATTACCCCAGCAGACCTGAGAGCATTCTGAAACAACCTCAACTTCCTGGGAAGCATACAGTGTGAGCAGCCATTTATAGGTGCAAAAACACTGACATACTGACACGATCTTTCACTGTAAACATTTTTTATTGTTCAGGGAGTTGCCTTTTCCTGACACCGGTACATGACAGTACCATGTAGTTACATATAGTAGAGAGATGTACTGTGCTGTGGTTGTAGTACCGTCAATGCTGTGCAGTGTTGTACTGTGCTGTAATTGTATAATTATCATCAGTGCTGTGTAGAAAAAATGAACGGGCATTTGCTGCTGTGTTGTTAAGAATATTAAAGAAATTGCTGCTTACATTTTCTGCTGAGCCCTTCCTCCCCCCTGCCTTCTGTGATTGACGTTTGTTGTTGCTTGTGATTGTGAGGGTTTGTTTATAATCAGGATGTGTGGTGTTGAAATAAAGCAAAATAAATTCTGAATAATTTTGTACTTTGGTTTCTTTGTACATGTACTCCTTTAAATAATATTGTCGGCCATCATTCAACACAACTCTGTCATTCATGTTTGAGGGAAGACAAGCGATTTTAGACCAACAAAGGATCTTAACGTGCAACTTGCACACAGGACCTCCAAGTGTTTTTCGCCCTTGTCCGCGAAGGCTAGGTGTAGATCTTTCCTACCAGGAGATCAAGGGTGTGGCTGAAAGACAGCAAGTAAGAAGGAGCCAAGGAGTAGCAGTAGAAAGACAGCAGTAAGAAGGAGCCAAGGAGTAGCAGTAGAAAGACAGCAGTAAGAAGGAGCCAAGGAGTAGCAGTAGAAAGACAGGAGCCCAGAGGAGAAGAAAGCAGGCGACAGAACATTGTTGGAGAGCTTGAAAGGAGTAACTTTTGGAGAAGAAAATTTTCTGTCACGGTCAGGTTTTGAACCCAGTATCTGTTGAATGAGAGGCGAACATCGTAACTTCTGGGCCACGAGAGAGTCCCCAAGGTTTACTGTTAACTAAATGACAGCTTCCAGTACAGTGAAACTCAGATTAACTAAATCTAAGTGGTCGGGCCTGGCCTTCAATTTCATCGAGTCCGATACGGCAAAAAAGAGGTTGTCGGGTAGATAACTACAGCACTGAGCAAGTAAAGTGTCTTGTATTCCACTTTCTCAATCAAAAGTAGTTTGGTTTCAAATGAGAGGCATTTTATTTTCTTTGATACCAATCAAAGAATTGCTGGCAAATTCCAGGAAGCACACACTGTGCAAAAGGACCAATTTGTTCGAATGCACACAGGTGTCGTCTATCATCTAGAACGTATTGTTTACCAAACAAGTTATGAGGACAGAAAAAGCAGCAGTTTCCCCCTGTTGTCCCGGCACAATATGAGCATGACATAGATAAATCAGCTCATTCACACAACGAGGTGTTTGAGGTCACACCAAATCATCAACTTGGTTTGCATCCACACCAAAAGAGCACACCCCCCCCCCCAGTATGGTACATCATAAAATGTGTGTAAAATCAGCTTTTGCTTACTGTGTCACATGGGTGCAATTCGCCATGTTGCTTTTTTTTTTCTTTCCTTTCTTAGACCCATTTGTCTGGGGTTTCTAAAACTAAAATAAGATGGTCACGGTCAAAGCATAAGTGCACGTCACAAACACGAGAGAAGGCTGCTAGGCATTAATAGTACAGATTTCAATGTCGTGAACACAAAAAGACACAGCTTGAAGACAAACAAAGAAATCCACTGTGTACTGTGCCAAGAACCTTTTATTTAGTTTGAACATTAATAAATTCAACGTGTGGCGGCCTTTACTTCTTGGCGGCTTTGCGGGCAGCGTTCCTCAATTTTCCAAACTCAACATTGATGATACGGTTGCGCTGAAAGAAAAAAAACACAAAAAGAATCATTGCATGATGTTTCTATTTTTACATTTACCAAGGGCGTACACACTATACATCGGAGAAGCGTGCTGACAAATTGAGTTTCTTCTCGGATTCTAGCCGTATATTATGGAAAAAAGATACATAGCGCTTAAACGTGAAGTTTTTACAATTTATCAGAACGAAATAAGAGGCATATACTTAAAGAATACGGCACCACTAGAAAATCTACAATTTTGACCCTAGGGTCGATTTTTGGCCAATATCTTCGATTTATAGATTGTGAGAAGTAACTAATTTTGTCAGCATGCTTCACGTTAAAATATTAGTTGGGCAGATCAGAATTAAACACTAGTTTTATCAAACTAAATTTTCAATCCTTCTTCCCATTCCAATAGGTCCTAATTGTAACCCTTTAAAAAAAGTTGCAATTATCTTACTGACTAGACAACAGATAACAAATTAAATTTATACCTTGGCATAAACCAAACTTTATGTAATCTAAAGTTAATTACACATGACGTCATAAACATCGTAACTCAAGAAGAGACAGCAACATAGCATCAGATGGTCACGTCTAAGGTTGAAAAGATATCGTACAGTGCACAAGCAGAAAGAAATTTCATTTAGCAGTCTCGAATCCTGCAACTTCAGGGTATTATAAAACTGAATTCCGAGCGTTATGATTCCCAATGAAGTGAAGTAAAACCCTGACAACACTTTAACAACTTCACAGGACCAGAGATATTCTTCCATGTCCAACAGACTTTGTGTAAAAAAGTTGCAATGCATAGAATAAAGAAGGGGAAAAAAATAATTTTTAAAAACCCCAAAAACTTAAAACTTGCATGGTAACTGAACTTTTGTGTAAAATGACTCTGAACAACCAACAATCAGTTTAGACGATCATCCTTCACTGCAGGAAGGAAAAAGGATGCCTGACAACATGAACTACATTTCCTTACAGCAGCCCTGACAAAGCGTATTAGGGATTTTTATTTGCTCTAAAATGACTAAAAAATGTTCGATTTAACTCATCGAAGCTTTGATGGGTTCGGAGTGGGTCAACGGTCAAGTGTTACTTTATCTGGTCCTACAACAACTGTACGGATGTGGGTGACTGGCAACGTTCAAGGCCGGGAACTAAACAATGCGAAAGGATCACATAGGACAGACCTGTGCACTTGTTGTTGAATACTACCAGTACTAGTACCTCGCACATTTTGGATAATGTTAAACACTTTTAGTCTTAGTAAGAGTTTTACGGCACTTGCAACACAATAGGTTATTTAAGTGCTGAAGATTAAAGATGTTACAAGAGACGAGAGTAACAAACACAAAAAAGAAGGAGAGATCAGGACGATAGAAGTTTGGTAGGAAAGAAGGAGCAAACCACACCAGAACACCCGCCAACCACCCACGTTAAACACTTTGCGGTCACTTGTCGCAATAATGTGCTGGTGAAAATGTTTGTACTGCTGGCTGTGTGTGACTGCAAAGTGATAAGCATTCCCAGCATGTTCACGCAAGTATAGAGGACCAGAAAAAAATCTCTTTCAGCTCAAAAATGGGATTGCACTTCAAACATTATGGGAAACAAAAACTATAACAGTGAAGAAACTTACAGCTTGTTTGGCCTTCATCAGCTTAAACCTCTCAAAGTCACTCAACTGTGATCTCTGAAACAAACAAAAAACACATGCCAATTAAGTATTTCAACAGGTACGTTTGGATCAAATCGGGAGCGTTTCAATGCTCCAGACTTTACTCTATACTTCAGTACCGGTATTTCTGTAACAATAAATGAATTCGCACATACCTGAATCAATGATCGAAACTGACCCCCCCCACCCCCTTAAGATGACTGCCTCACAAGAGCTGAGGTACAGCACACACAATTATATCCCTTTTTACCCTTTAGAATCTGTTTTTAACAGACGTTCTGCAAAGTGATTAAAAAAACATTTTTGCTTCAAGGGAAATGACAAAACAGAAACAGCTTGTTACATTGTGTGTGTCAGACGTGGATAATCAGCACTGATTTTACAGACGGCACTTCCTAATATCCAGGTTCATCATACACACACCCATAAATCAATGCTAAAAAAATATAATTTTCTAACCTTTTAGTTTTAGTAAGTGTTTTTACGGCACTTGCAACACAATAAGGTCATATAAGTGCCGAAGATGTAGAGGTGTTACAAGAGAGTAACAAACACAAAAAAGAAGGAGGGTAGAAAAGGATAGATGTTTAATAAGAAAGAAGGAGCAAACCACACCAGAGCACCCGCCAACCACCCACAATTTTCTGACCATCATACACATGTAAAATACTTCAGAACATGACCATCACTTTTAAGTGTTGCATCAAACGGTCCCTTACTCAATATCTGATTGTCCCACCTTGAACTGCAAAGCATTGGGTTCTCTACGGTTTTTGTTTTTTTAACATTCATTGGTATACAAAAGGTGAAGAACCAATAATCACTTTCATCTACAGCAAACAAGCACAGAGAAAAAAAGCTCTTCATCTCCAGCAAACAACCACAGAGAGAAAGCTCCAAATCTAAAAAGACCATGACTGAATGTCCTTACAGAATTCTTGGCATAGCCAGATTTGCTTAGCAGGCAGCCTACCAACTTGTGCATAACCCAACCTGGGCTACCATCCAGGAGATTACATCATGTAGAAACAACAAACACAAATACATCACATGTGGCAGTTTTGGTGTTGTGTGAGTGAAAATAATAAGGCTCTTAAATTTCTGATTGCCAATTTGTTGACAGACCCTGGAAAATCCCAACTGTTGGTAAGCCTGTCACTACTGTCAGCAGGTCAAATCTCAGAGTTAACTTCAAACCAAAAAAACTTTCCATAGAGATGCAGTAAATAAGTGTTGTTTGTCTTAACGCATGAAATTGTGAATCTTGGATTCCAGCAACAGTACTGAAGAAAGCTTCTAAAGGGTTTTTAAGAGTGGAAAACCCATGGCAATATTATATCGCCTTACTGGGCTTTCCCTCCTCTACGCCAGCGATCAGGAAAGTCCTAAATATCTTTTGAGCTTCTCTGAAATCCTAACATTTATACTCAATCCTTAATTAAACACCCAAGGTGTGTCAGACGAGGACAATCAGCACTGAAGTTACAGACGGCACTTCCTAATATCCAGGTTCATCATACACACTTCTTCCTTTTCAAATGTTGCCATCAACGATTGCTTCAATAAAGTCATAAATAAATAAGGGAGGAAACAACGTTCACACCTACAAAAAAAAAGTAAATAAAATAAAGCAACTATATGTTCTGGACCAAAGAAAGAAAGAAGTGGACCAAAACCTGATCAGACACCCTTACAGCTCACAAACTCCAATCTGTGCCTTCAATTAAACACAACGTATGTTTACTTTCATACAACTCAATAATAATAAGCAAGAGGACATATATCTATCATGAGTAACTGCCATTACCACTCCTCCCAGTGTGTATCATATTATGCTCTTATTTGGAGAGGAATCCTAATATTTTTTATAACCTGTAAACATATAGATCTACCCGCAACCACAACTGAGTAATCCCCCCCCCCCTCCCCCACAACAAGCACAAAAAGTTCTGACCCTGCTTCAAACATTCATGAACGCACTCAATTCTCCAGAGCCCATCATAAACAACAGTGTGTGTGTGTGAGAGAGTCAGACGTGGATAATCAGCACTGATGTTACAGACGGCACTTCCTAATATCCAGGTTCATCATATTCAAACACACATTTTCTTTTAGAAGATCACCTGACATCAATGTAAATTTCATACGGTATCAGCAAATGTAAGACATGAAACAATGGTACACACATTGCCAAGACACCCCCCCCCCCCCCTCACACACAAAAGTAACAAAGTAACTAAAAAAAACCCCACATTTACATAAGTAAAACAAACCAAAAATAAAAAGCCACCAGTGAAAACTAGACATTTTTTCTCGACCGAACTTTCATTGGGCCCTTTTAGTCTACAAATAGTTTCAGCATTCAAGAATTGTCTGGCCAGTTTCAGGAATCACAGAAAGCAATTGAATTGAAAGTTTGACATGGACAGTATGTGTCAGACGTGGATAATCAGCACTGATGTTACAGACGGCACTTCCTAATATCCAGGTTCATCATATCACACATTTTTTTGAAAAGATAATTTGACATAAATTGTTTCACAGGTACAGCAAATGGACATGAAACAGAACGGTACACACGCTTCCAAGACCCCCCCCCCCCCCTTACAAAAGTAACAAAAACCAGAAGAAAAAACCCAAAAACAAACACATAAAAAAACAGAAATAAAAAGCCACCAGTGAAAACTAGACATTTTTCTCTACTGAACTTTCATAGGGCCCTTTTAGTCTACAAATAGTTTCAGTATTCAAGAATTGTCTGGCCAGTTTCAGGAATCCCAAAAAGCAATTGAATTGAAAGTGTGACATGAACAGTATGTGTCAGACGTGGATAATCAGCACTGATGTTACAGACGGCACTTCCTAATATCCAGGTTCATCATATCACACATTTTCTTTTAAAAGATAATTTGACATAAATTGTTTCACACAGTTACAGCAAATAGACATGAAACAACACAAAAGTAACAAAAACTTAAAACCAGGAGAAAAAACCCCAAAAACAAACACATATAACTAAAACAAACCAGAAATAAAAACTATCCCTATGAAAACCAGACATTTTTTCTCTACCAATCTTTCATAGGGCCCTTTTAGTCTACAAATAGTTTCAGCATTCAAGAATTGTCCGGCCAGTTTCAGGAATCACAGAAAGTAATCTAACTGAAAGTTTGACATGGACAGTATGTGTCAGATGTGGATAATCAGCACTGATGTTACAGACGGCACTTCCTACTATCCAGGTTCATCATACACACAGACTTAGCCATGTTTAAGTTACAACATTATCATTATTTTGTCTTGAAACAATAGCCAAAAAAAAAAAACCCCCATAAAAAGAAGCATACGAATGTACCTGTGTATGAACTAATAAAAGTGCATGTGCTTAATAATTTTTTTATGAGACAAAATTTTGTTGAATGTTAGCCTTTAGAATAAAGAATCAAATTGATCAAAGAACTTCAACCATTCAGAGCCACCAAACTTTAGCTAACGCTGAGATCAGGGAGATACAAAAAAATCCACCGATACTAAATTTTTCTGAAGATTCATTTTGCAATACTGCAGAGTTGCCTCTGAAGAATAACTTTTGCCAGTCATTGACAGCAACCTCCAAATATTCCAAATACACATTAGTGCAAAAACAGTAATGATTACAACCTTTGCCATTTACATAGATAGGAAAATGTACGGCACGCGAATCTTAACACAAAAAGGAAATAATACTCAAAGTAAAAACACAGAGACTACCAGCATGATCAAACTTGTGGCGGGTATACGCCTGTGGGTGTGTCAGACGTGGATAATCAGCACTGATGTTGCAGACGGCACTTCCTAATATCCAGGTTCATCATACACACACACACTTTTCGAATTTTGTGAAAAATGTTCTAGATATATATATCTACTACAACACAAGATCAGTATACTTCTCATTTCAAATCCACCAAGTTCTAAACTTTAGACATGATTGCCGGTGCACATTTTTCTCTGATATTCAACCGTCACTGACATCAGTAATTGTTAAATGTGCGATCATGGTTCATCTTTCATTTGTTTACTCAGATTTCTCCACACAAAAAAATCCAATATTATCATGGTCATTCTACATAGACCACGCGTAAATGTTTTCCAAGTACAT